GTGCCCTGCCGGTCTCCCCCGGCACATCCCTCCCACTGTCCGGGCTCAGCCTCAGCATGGAGGGCTTCCCTGCTTGTCAGTCCGCTCTTCCTCACAGCCTCTGCTCCTTCTCTGCAGGGCCCCAGCGCTGGGTACTGAGCCTCTGTCATCTACCTTCCTCCCGGCTTAGATTTTCTCTCAGTACCTAGGTAACATCACCACCTAGTGGCTGCAAATCCCATCTCCTTACTGGTGGTTCCCAGGTTACACCTCTAGGCCCCACCACTTCCCTGAGCTCTACCTGTAGACATTTGCCATCTCTGCTTAGAGTCTATAGAAAGCTCTAAGGCAAGTTAACACATTCAGGGCAGAACTCTTCCATTTCTCCCCCAAACCCCTCCCCACAACATTCAGCATCTCCCTTAGTTGCTGAGTCTAAAATCCCTGTCTCTGTATGTAATTCACAGCAAGCTCAAATACCTATAGATTCTACTTCAGATTTGGCCCTAAATACAATCATCTTCAATATCACCTCCCTCTCCCCAACTCTGGTCAAGCCACTCCTGCTCTTGCCCAGACCCCTGCAGACCTGCTTGGCTGCCCCCAGCAGTCATATCCTTACTCAGCAGCCAGAATCACCTCATAAAAATAAAACAGACTCATATCATGTTGTTCCTGGCTCAGCGTCCTCAAGAACTCTCCAGCACACTCCTTTCTGCATCCTTGAGGCCCTCTGATGTGTCTCTCTTAGGGCCTTCATGCTGCACCTCCCTTTGCCTGGTCCTGAGCGTCCCCCCACTTCACTCAGGTCCCTTCTGAGGCTTTCTCCAGCTGAACACCTCATCTTGCCCTCTGCACTCTCTGTTCCTTCTCTACTTGGAATTCCAAAGGCAGGGATCTCGCCTAACTATTCTGCCCTCAGGACTTGGAAGAGTACTCAGCAAACATGGGTGTTCAGTGATACCTTGTGGACAAAGTAAGGGTATCTTGGTGCTCCCTCAAACGGGCCATCTTCCCTCCAACACAAATCCCTCAGCCTGAGTCACTTTCTGCGGGCCACAACCCCGTACATGCTGATGGCTGTGTTTCCCTACAGATGCCCGCTGTGGACAGGGCACTCACATGTGCCATCTAGCTCACTGTGCAGTGCTAGGCCCTGGGGGATACTCCGCCCTCGCTCCTGGAGCTCACAGTCTGATGTGGGCACAGATGTGCATGCTCATGTGTTAGGTCATGGCAAACACGAGGAAGACAACTCTAGCATGGCATGAAGGGGTAAAGGGCAGTGGAGGTCAAGGTAGGGTAAGACTTGGAGAGAGGCCTCTTTAGACAAGAGAGCATTTGAGCATGACAAATGAAGCCTTGTGAAATCCAGAAAGTCCTCCCCAGCCACCCTGCCCTGACTAGCTCAGACTCCTTGATTACCAGTTTGGGGGACACTGTGGGCCTCCTGCGTGTGCTCACTGCAGCTCCGACTTGCGTGTGTTGATGTAATCTTTTGACTAATGTCTGTCTCTCCCATGAGACTGGGAGCTCTGCAAGAGGCTCTGTTTATGCTACATCCCCAGACACAGGGCTGGGAAATAATCACGCTCAGAGTCATTTGCCAAACAACCAGTGAGTGGGTAAACAAGCTCAGGCAACTCCCCCAAGACGGTGCCAGCAGCTTCACCAGCCTCTGTGGCCTGTGGGGTAGAACAAAATGGCATCTGGACTGGTTTACAAAGCGCGCTCCAGACCCTCCACCCACCCCAGCAATCAGCCCCTTCAAGAAGGGTTGTGCAACTTGGGGGTCCTGAACACCCAATGTTTGGCTGGGGACAACAGGACAGCTAGAAGCAGATAGCCCCTCAGAGGCCCGAGAACCATGCAGGAGCCTGGGTCTTGCCAAACCTGGTAGGATCTCGGGACCAACAGCAGGAAGGAGACACTCAGAGAAGAGGGCGGAAGCCGGCAGCAAGGTCGAGAGGCTCTCTCTGGGGGGCAGGGCAGCTTGGGCTGATGTAAGCCCACAACCTTTCAGGGCGCAGCCCGTAGCCCCAATTATACTGCATATTCAGACAGCTCTGCCTCACCTCTCCCCTCTCCAACTGAAATCCCTCCAGACCTGTTGGCAGCTCCATTTTCATTTTCCACCTGGGGTCTATACTCCTTCCTGGACTCCCTCCATCTACCCAACCTGATTTTCCGTAGCTGCTCCATAGAAACCCGCCCTTCAGTAAGGGAGCGTGCTCCCTGGGCACTGTCCTTTCTGTCACTGCTGACAGCTGTCCTTATGTGTGCCATTCCCCCATGGGATGCCCACCTTCAGCAGCCTTCTGCTATGGTCCAAACTTCAAGGCTCCACCTCAAGCTGTAGGGTCTCCGCCCCTACACAGAGCTCCCTTTGCAGGGGACAGACCCTCAGAGACGCACAGGTTGCCAGCACTGCTTCGTCTGTGTCCATCCTATTTTCCCCTTTGGATCAGCAGGCTGCTGAAGGGCAGAAAGCATATTTCATACTATTTTGCTTGGCACTAGCAGCTGCTTAATAAAGATTTGATGAGCTGAGTGAGGAAAAAGCTCAGTGCTGACCAGCAGCGACATGTGTCCAGCATTGCTGGCCGCTCCTCACCCTCACAAGGCTGAAGTGCTATGTTTTAGGGGGATTTTGTATAATTGAAAAGTCTTTCTGAAATTGGAACCTGTCCGAAAAGACAGTATTGCAGGGTAGCAACTAGAACCAAAGGAATTTTGAAATGAAGCCCTGTCAGAGTTAGCCGCAGATATTGGGCTGGTATAATCAAAGCATAAAAAGGAATTGGGCTGGATTTGTAAGAAGGAGTAGAACATCTTGTGAGACTCTGTGTCTGGCTAAGTAATGGCCTCCCAAAGATGTTTCCAATCTAATCCTCCAGACCTATTAATCTAATTAATAAATTTGATTAATCTGAAAATGGGGATGATCCTGGATCACCCAGGTGAGGCTGATGTTACCACAAAGGCTCTGATTAAAGGGGGGCAGGAGTGCAGCTGAGCAGTCAGACTCGATGTTCGAAAGAAAAGGGTGGAGCTGCCAGCAGAGCTCCCCAACGACCAGCTCATGATGCCAAATAACTGATCAATTCAAGGGGAAAAGAATCAGCGCAGTGGAGTTGTCCGAACTGACTTTGGCTTACTTTAAACCCCAGCAGACAGCATCTTAAGATTCCTTGGCAGATGCAGATTCTGGAGTTTATCACTAACCTCAAACATCTAACTGTTATCCCAAAACACAGCCCTCCTCATGTCTTCAGATCATGGACTTCTCCAGGTACTTTGTGTGTAGTCTCCTTAAAGACATAAACACAACAAAACAGAGCAAAGTGGAAAAGCACAGGTCCATGTCCACAGCAATGCACTCTTAAAAAAAAAAAAAAAAAGAGCAGGACTCCAAACATTCTCTCAGTCTTGTTTATTTTTTCTTATCTGCAAAAGCAAAATGTACACAGTGTCTTCAGCACATGATGTCAGGGCTGATCTGTAGTTGGATGAGAGGCAGCGTAAAGAGCCTTTAACCTCAGCTTATCCCCACCGGGGAACTTTTATATAGGAGACTTCAAACAAGGCCACATCTGGGAAAGAAAGATTCGTGGGGACAAACTGCAATGCTTTAATGCAGTTTATAAAAAAAATTGCCAAACATTTATTTTTTGATCAAGCTTCTGACTGTCGTTGGGTTAGCATAAGCAACAAAATGAAAGAAAGCTCCCAAACATTGACATTGGCACTCAAAAATAATAAAGAGAGATATTAAATATTAGTATTTTCAGGATGTTTTTATTCTGAAAATGCGTTGACATAAAATTGCTAAGAATGCCGTAGAATTACAAGTTGTCCTTTTTTTTTCTTTTCAGAGTTACAAATACTTAGATTCAGATAATCTAAGTATTTAGGTTCACATAAATAGAAAGTTCTAAAAAAAAGTTCTAAAAAAACCCCCAGACTGATAGGAATATCACCCTATGGAGGGAAGCCTTTACTCAGTTCTCAGAGTGACCGTAACCTAGAACATCTTGGCTTAATGTCAATGATTCATTTTTCCTAGTCCATCACCCTCCTTTATCCCCAAAAGCCCTCATATACTCCTCGGCATAAAGCGAGATGGACAAAGTTCAGTACGTTCCCCACGGCAATGGTCCTCAAGCTTCAGTGGGAACAGCTGTATACAAAAATGCAAAGTATATGCTAGAAAGGCAAAGAGTGTCTTTTAAATGTAATTCTGATTCAGATAGTTCCTGAAATACAGAAATCCTTCCTAGACTGAAAGGACGTAATGAATCTGACTGCCTTCTTAATGGGGGAATGCAGAGGACCAGGTTCTGTGGATATTTATAAAGATTTTCTGGGACTGGAAATTAGGAAAAAGTAAAAAGAATCACTCCATCTCCACTCCCCTTTAGCCAGTTGTCTATAAGAAGTGGACCTGAGTTTGGGATTGAAGGAGATACTGTATTCCCAAGGCAGGGCCCCAACACATACACCCCTCACCCACTGCCAGGACATTGGCATCACCTTTAGCCTAAGCAGTGGAAGTTTCTGGAAAACTCCAAAAACAGAGCAAAAGAACTGCTTTTAGGTGTCTCTGAGCCCTGTAGAAAGAGGAGCTATCCCTTGTAAAAATTTGACCCAGAGATTCACGGGTGGATTTGCTTCCAGAGCTGAGGACAGTGCTAGCAACCACTTGGACAGACTCCTGGAGAACAAGGGACAGGCCAGGTGCGACCAAGGAGGGAGCCCAGGCACTCCTCCCCAGACCTTCCACGCCTTCCCTGCTAACTCGTCCATGTGGCAGGGCTCTGAGTGTCTCCTGAGGTGCGTCCTGCGGAAAGCCACCGTTCTGTTTGGCACCAGTTGGGCACTAGCAGGCTGTATGTGTGGGGGGCGGGGCGGGGAGTTGATTTGGTTACGATTCCCGTTGTTAACGCTACCAAACGTCTCATGCTGTGCTGAAAGCAGACACCCTCTCAGGGACCAGAAGTTCTCCAGGGAACCGGATGGAGTCAGGGCACTGTCCGCTCCCAGAGTCTTTCTCGAAGCAGCCACTGCCCTCTGGGGTTCTCTGTCTCGTAGTGGTCCCCCCCAGGAGATCTCAGGGGCTCCAGGGCAAAGAGCTCTGCATCCCATTCCATGTCTTCTGAGAAGTTGAAGAAGATTTGTCTAGAGCTCCCCAAGCTAGAAGGGAGAAAAGGGCAGAGGGTTAAGTCTGTCTCGGCCAGCCGCACAGAGCGAGGGGATGCTGGGACTCCCCCATTCCCCAGAGACCAGCTTCTCTGGTGCTGCATCTTGTGGAGACCAAACGATGTCAGCATGGGGCTGTGGATGGACCTCAGATGTCCTCAGCCTGGCCTTGAAGGGGCAGGATGAATGACCAGGGCTCGGTTGTGGTTTTAATACATCTAGTGCATGGTCTATTACTATGGGAGGAAAATGTCATCTAGAAAACCCCTGACCCCTCAGGACCGAATGACTGAATGGCTTTTGTAGAGGCAGAGAGAAACTGCCGCTGAGTCCCCACAGGCCCTTCTGACAGGTGAGGCCAGACCCAGAGAGAATGCACTATTCCGATAGCAACAGGAGTCCCTGTGGCAGGGCTGAAGGAGATACTGCGGTTTCTGATGGAGACTACTCTTGGGAGAGAAAGATCTGGAGAAGAAGAGGCCAAAGGACATTTCCCAAGAGGGGCCTGCCCACAAGACTTGTATTCTCAGCACCTGGCCAGGGCCTTCTAAGCAGAGGCATCTGATGTCTCTGACCCTGGTTCCCTCTTGGTGCTCTGCTCTGTCCTTCTGTGGCTGTTGTTATTCTCTGGTTAACCCTCTCCTTGAAAATCAGAGGCACACGATGTGTTGCAGGCCCTTGGGGAAAGCAGTGAAGGCAGGTGGCACAAAGCAGAAAGGCAAGGAGGGAGGCCCAGCGCCAGAGCAGGTTGGGAGCAGGTGAGAGCTGTGAACAAGGCCAGAATGGAGACCCACAAAAAAGACTTTTTAAACTAAGACCTCTCCCCCCAAAACATACAAGAAAATTTTTTGGTAAAAGGGACTGGGCTCAAGCCTTCTTACGAAGCATCTGCAAGACACAGGAACATCTTGGTTATGCCCTTTAGCCCAAGCACTTACTTCTTTTTGCAGGCTTTGGGCTTAAATTTCAAGGTGTTGAACGCCCCTTCCACAGCTTTGGGTAAGTAAATGGGGTGCCTCTCAAGCCTCCTCTGGGTGCTGATGGTCCTGCGCTCGGCGCCCCTCCGCGGCTGGCCATCTGTGGTGGGTGTGGCGTGCACGGCAATGTCCTCCGAGTGTCTGCGTGGCACCCGCAGGATCCAGTTGGAATGCAAGCTGTGCTCCCGGGAGCTGGTGGCCACTGGAAGAGAGAGAAAGACGACCCGGGAAGGGAGGAGTCACTGCTGGGAGGAGCACAAGGCAAAGGAAACAGTGGGTCACACTGAAACTCCAGCAACTGGCAGAGACAGCCAGCTTCACAACAGCAAAGTCTGCCGAGCCCTCTGACTCACAGTTGGCCCGCAGGAAGCGGTGGAATATCAAAGCGTTAAAGATGAGGAAATATATATGTATTCATTGACCTAGAAAGATGCCCAAGGTGCATTATAAATTGTCAATTTTGTTTCAAATCAGGACTGTGCGTGTGTGTCTGTGTTGAAAACGCTCTAGAAAGGCCATCACTCAGATGTTAGCAGCGATGATGCCCCTGGCTGGTCCTCTTTTTCACTTTCTTCTTTGTACTTTGGTATATTGTTTGAGTGACTTGATTTACAACGAATGCATATTATTCTTGTTATCAGAGAAAAAGAGCCATTTTGTTACAGGAATTTGTTTCTTCAGTAGGTCCTTGGTCTTGGGGATTCAAAGAATAAACCCGTGGACCACAGGTCAGTGGTAAGATAGGATTTATTAGACAGAAAGGAATAGAGAAGGAGTAAGCAGCACCAGAGCTTCTGTACAGAAGGCCTAAAAAAAGCCCCAGCGCTTCTGGCAGAGGGAAAGACCCAAGTGGAAAGTCTCTGTGTGGGTCCTTGTCTAGGGGTATAAGGTCTTGAGAACTGCATTTGGCCAGGATTTGGTAGATAGAAACACTTTTTCAAAGTTAATGAGTGTTACTGAAATGAATGAATGCAGTCCCTCCAGTTCAGGGCAAAAGGTCAGTGTGTTCCCTTCAGGAAATTTCCCAGGCCCAGGAAAACTGGGGCCCCCTGCCCAGCCTTGAATGGAGGAGCCCTGTATCAATTTCATGACAATTGTCATTTTCTTTAAAACAATCATAACTGTGAAGGAAACACTAGCATCCTCAGTGGATTTTGTCATCCTTTTGCCGATATCCCAGACTTCCCAGGCTGCTTTCTGCCAGGGATGGGAGGGGCTGTGTGGAGAGGAGGGCAGACAGGTTACCTGCAAGTTCAAGTGAGCTTGGGGAGCAAGGAGCCAAAGTCACCTTCTGTGAAAGTGCCCATGGCCCAATTTGAGGACCCAAGTCTCACACATACACATCTGTCTAGTCCACAACAACAACAACAATAAATCACATGCTTGTCACCTTTTGAGTAGTAGATAAAACACTCACAAATTATTTAATATTGGCTCCAAAAGCTATTGTCTTGATATCCAGGGGCCAATAACCCAGAATAAAATCATCATTAAATTGCACTCCGGGAGGCCAGTTAAAGAAACTGACAACTAATTGATGGAATTTGAAAGTGAGCTGAGACTCATGGATGTGCTTGGATTCCTTATTCTGTGGCAAAGGGAGCCAGAGCCACCCCTCAGTAAGGAGAAACATGGCCTCCTAGGCTTCTGGTCCAGAAATCAGGCTGGGCCTGGGCAGGCTCCTGTGCCACTCTCACCCTGCACACCACCCTACTTCCTTGCCTAGGCAGAGTTAGAGCTGGGTTTTCAAATATAGTTTGCCTGTTCACTTACTTTTTAAAAAATTGTGGTGAATTGTCCATGACATAAAATATTGCCATTGTCGCCATTTTTAAGCATGTAGCTCTATACCTTTAAGTCTATTCTTCACATTATTGTGCAGGCAATCTCCAGAGTTACGTGCCACAAAGCTGAAACTCACACTTAGTCACCAACACACTGTCCAATAGATTTAATCTTTAATCATGTCCCTGTCACTTTCCCTCTCAGAGTTTCAGAAAAGTTCCGCCTGTTTCAGGATTTTTTTTGTCCCAGTGTGGCCGCAGACACAATGAGGAGCAGGCCGGAGCCGTGGACAACTGAGCACAAGGTCCCCAAAGAGGACGGCTTGGGGCCCAGGTTGTGGCTTGTAGGTACAGGGCTCTCCTTCCATCAGGCAGGTGGGATCCCTGGTACTTGTCTTGCGAGCCCACCTCAGAATCCCCAGCCCACCATTGTCCCCTGAACTCACCATCAAAGTCCACATCTTCATTCAGAGAGTCAGCCTCAGCAGTCCGCGGCCATCGCTCTGTATCCAGCTCCGCGATGATGGAGTCAAAGAAGGCCATGGCCTCAGCTACGTCAGCACTAAACTGTGCATATTTCTTCAAGGTGGGTTTCTGCTAGACGTAAAAAGGGGAGAAGAGAGAGCTGAGCTGCATGCGGGAGCCTTGGGGGGCCTTATCAAAGGTAAGCCAGACATGCCAGAAAGGGTTAACTGTTGCTAAAACAAAATGCACCAGGAGTTAGGGATTTATAGAGTTTCAAAGGGAAATTTGACTAAGTGCCCTGTGGACAGAAGGCAGGCACTCAGGACCAGGAAGCTGCAGGGCAAGAAATGGCAGATCAGCATGAGGAGGTGGGAGGCAAGGACCGTGAGGCCCATTTCTTTCTTGGTCATGGATTTGCTGTTAGACATTAGGCAAAAGAATTAGTCTTTCTTTGATCTTGTTCTTTAGTGATAAACACCCAATTAGGAGACTGTACAGCTCCATAGGTGGGTGAGGGGACGCTCACAGCAGGAGAGAGAGAGGACAAAACGGTGGGAATGCTCCCTGAGAGTTGTCAGCTTGTAACAGGGCCAAATTTGGGCACAAGTCATGGTATAAATTGAAATGGTATGATTGTTTGAAAAGTATAAGGAAGGCTCAGTGCCTACAGCTCAGAGGTTAAGGCACCAGCCACATACATCAGAGCTGGTGGGTCTGAATCCAGACCAGGCCTGTCAAAACAACAATGACAACTGTAACCAAAAAATAGCTGGGTGTTGTGGCGGGCGCCTGTAGTCCCTGCTACTTAGGAAGCGGAGGCAAGAGAATCGCCTAAGCCCAAGAGTTTGAGGTTGTTGTGAGCTGTGACACCATGGCACTCTACCGAGGGTGACAGCTTAAGACTCTGTCTCAAAAAAACAAACAAAGAAAGAAAAGTATAAGGAAAAGTGAAATATAGAGTTTAAAAAACCTACTCACTGCCACCCAGATTCCAGCTCTGTCCCTCTCCTCTGATCACATTCCATCTGCACAACAGCCCACACAAGGCCATGAACAGCCAGCATCACAAACACTCAGACACCACAGGGGCTGCAATGGGGAGTTTGTCATCTCCAGAACTGACAAGCCAGCATAGGAATGCTTTCTGCAGAGTTTAGGAAATAAGAGAACTTGAGGAAAAAGGGACAAATGTCTTAAAATGTGACCTCTTTCGACCAAATGTAGGGGTTTTTTTTGATTGTATGTGGGATGGTGTGGAAGTGAATATGATTGAATTACAGGCTAGCACAGTAGGCAGGAGGAGGGCAGCGTCTCCACATGGGACAGAGTTGTTCTGAGATGGATGCATTTTGTACCACTTGGAAATATTTTTAAATAGAGATTTTTTTCCCATTCTGTTCATAAAGAGCTCTCTGGGAAACGATGTGGAAGGACCACAACACACACCTGAACCTTGTCTGAAGCTCTGCGGAATGTAGTTCTCTGTCCCCGTTAAAGAGCCCTCTACAAGTAAAGCAAGGACAGAATGACAGCGAGAACAAGAGAAAGGTGGGAGGTAGATTTCTAGGAGCTTCCGCTGGTCGAAAAGCAGCTGGAGAGATGAGCAGTTGAGAAGAGGGACGATCCCACTTTCAGGAAGGGGACACTCCCTAGACTTGGTGACACCAGGCCTACCAGGGGCTTGGTGTGGGATGTGAGACTGAAACATGGAGGGGCTGATGAAGGGTGTCCGAGTGCAGCGGGCCTCCGGCAGGCTGGTGATGGGCGGCCTCACATTCCCTGCGTTTCCCTTGCTGCTTCCTCCCCCTCCTCCCTGTTAGTCTTCAGTCTGGCTAGACACAGCCAATGTCCCCACTGGCTGACTCTGACTGGTCCACGGAGACTTGGCCGAGAGAGCTCTTTCTCCAGGAAGCCACCACTTTCTTGGGCTGTTTCTGGCCTCCAGGTCCCCAGAAGTCTCAGAACCTTAATTCCACTATGACGCAAACCATATTAAAGATTTTTTGCGAAGCAGGGAAGACAGAAACAAAAGATTAGAGAAAGCTACCCAATCCAGATGATCCTCTAAAGAAGGATGAATATTATCACTCAATACAAAGTCTTAAAACCCACCTGCACATGGAGGGACGTTTCTGAGGCTCCAGAAGGCATCAGCATGTGGCTTAATGCCAGACTCTCATGTCCTGTATGTGCGTCAAATCTTTTTTTAATCTAGGTTGCTCTATGATTTGATCTAAGCAATTCAGTTCTGTGTCTCCAGAAGGAGACTGTGGCCACTAGCTCAAAGCAGCCTGAATCAGCTGCTATAGTTTGTTAAAGGGTTTAGAAGAAAGTCAACTTTGGTGTCTTAACTACTAAAGGTTAAGAAAGCAATGAAGACCCTGTCTTCAGTTAGGTTAACACCAACGCTGTACGGCTGTGAATCTTCTGAATCTCCTTAAGCATTGTCCTCGGAGTTTAGCATTTATGGATTACAGCATAGAAATCGCCACCTCAGCCACTGAACTCTTTGTCACCAAAGCTAGAAAATAGTAGTCCTTTCAGCCACTCTTTTCCCAAAGCAGTGAATTCAGATAATGAAGTGATTCTAATGCACAGCAGTTTAATTGCCACTCTGGGGGTACCCAGACATGGGAGAGGGAGCAAGGAAGAGTATGAATCCTTACCTTGATGTCAGGTTTGGGATAGAAACTGAAATATCAGTCATATTCTCTGGATGTGCAAGAGCAGACAGGAGTGTCTCAGTGACGGGAAGACAGGGGACAGGAACCAAGGGGGCAAGATGCAGGTCATTGAGCAAAGAGGACCGAAGCTCCTGGGTTGAGAGGCCCAGACTCCTATTGTCCTTGTGTGCTTCCTGGTGCCTAGAGCACAGACAGGCCCAGGTGAAGGGGTCCATCCTATCAGCCTCAGGAGAGGGCGTGTGCAGGCTGCTCTCATCCCACCTGCAGGGTGCGCCGTCCGGCTGCAGCCTTCACCTGCACCACTCCCAGGCAGGCCTTACTTCCACGCTCATATCATGCACTTTTGTTTGCTTCCTTGGTTTCCTGTTTGCATGCTCCCTGTTAGTCTTCAGTCTGGCCAGACACAGCTGCTGCTCCCAAGTGTTAAAATGGCTGGGGATTTTGAGCCTCTCCGCGATTGCCAGGATGACCACACCTCCTGGTTTGCCCAGGGGTCATCCCAGTTTGTGCTGGTTATCCCAGTGGACAGATAGCTCCTCTTCCCATTCTCCAAAGTGGCCCTGGTTGGAAGATAAATTACCTGGTCTCTCAACTCAAACCACAAGTTATGCCATCTCCACATTTCCAAGTCTGTTACCATCTGCAGTAGATGGTCTGTTTTACTATCAAGTTATTGTTTATATACCTAATACTTTCCTAAATTCTTCACTTTAACCCATATTTTTTGATTATCAATCTTTCAAATGGAATTTGAGTTTTTCATTATTTTTCTTATCTAACTCTTATCCACAATAGACCACCTAAAATTTCCGAATTTAGTTTATTTAAAGTGATCTAGGAAATTTAAGGCAATAATGAACCAATCTGAGTGCAAAATCCTGCTAGATCTTTGATTTTTTTTCAAATCTCTCACATTTGCTTTATCCAAACCTCATTCTGTTGTCTTTTTTAGCAACTATCTACTATGATCTTTCTAAAGCATCCCACTTAGTATTCATAGAAGAAATTCTCTTTTGTCACTCATATTTAATTATATATCGTACTAAATTAAATTACATTAACATAAATTATAATAGTATAATAATAAATTCAAATAACAGTAAGCCAGTTTGAGTACAAATATAACTTAATTTTAATAAGTACATAGTTCAGCCTCTGAGAGTTTAGAAGTACACAGGCAGTATTTTAGAAGTACATACCTAGTTTAAAAAATAATTTATTATAAAAGTTTTAAATAAACACTACAGAAAATAGAATCATGAACTCAAATACTCATCAACTTCAGCCACCATCAACTTATGCCATTCTTGTTCATCTATCACCCTCCCACTTTTTTTCTTAAAGCTAATCCTAAAAAGTATAAGTTTATTCATAAATATTAATACTCCAAAATGTATCTTTAACAGATGAGAATTTGGGGCAATATTACCCAATGTGGCTAGGCATCTACTTTTAACAGACAAGATCCAGGTGTATATTCTATTCACCTTCAATATTTTCTCTAAGAAACCTCTTTACAAATATACAAAGAAAAAAACTCTGCATTAAAAGCTATACTACTAGAAAAGCATCTAATTTACTTATCTATAATAATCTTGTACACACACACAGAGATGCTGTTTTCCATTGTCTTCCAGCTTGCATCATCTCTGATGAGAAATCTGCTGTAATTTTTTATCTTAGTTATCTAAGGTATGTAACTGTATGTAATGTGTCTTTTCAGCAATTTTTTTCCAGATTAGGGTACAGATGATTATGTTACATTGTTTGCATTTGTTAGGTAAAGTCCAAGGTGCATGGAGCCTTCACTCAGCTGGTGTGCCATGTACCCCTAGACTGTGCCCATTGTGCCGTTGGTGTTTTCTGAACTTCTGTACTTAAATGTGTGTCATTAATTTTGGGAAAGTCACAGCTGCTGTTTTCTCAAATATTTCTTCTCTCCCCTTTGTTTCTTTTTCTCTGGGATTCCAATTATACTTATGTTGACTATTTGATGTTGTTCCATAGTTCTCAGATGCTCTGTCCTATTTTTCTTTACTACATTTCCTTTTTTTCCCCTCTTTATGAATTAACACTTTTATTATTTTAGTTTTTCAATAATTTTTATTTCAAAATATTAGGGGGTTACATAGATGAAGTCAGGGCTTAGTGTGCCTGTCACCAGAAGAGTGATAAGTTTCATCCCTTCCGCCTTATCCCACTCTCCCCTCTTCTTAGTTTCCACTTCATGATCATGTTTTCACTACGTTTTCTTTGTGTGTCAGTTTCAGTCACTTATTTTGGCCCATCTTCAAGTTTTCTGATTCCTTCGTGGTTGCATCAAGCCTACTAATGAACCCGTCAAAGACTTATCTCTGTAGCTGAGCTGTTCACTTCTAGTCTCTTCATTTGATTCTTTCTTATAGTTTCCATCTTTCAGCTGTAATTCCCCATCTAATCTTGCAT